CTACCCCAATCGAGTAGTCTTCCGACATTTCATGAAGGTTCGAGAAGGAAGTGTCGTGATACAAGCGTCACGTGACCTGCGATGACGCAACAATATCTCATCAGTACAGCTGGACGATGAAAGACAAAAGCTCTATGAAACGCTATTTACAGATCAGTTTAAATCTCTTCGTGTGAATAGTAAGTGGTAAGGGTGCTGTTGACCAGCTGCCTTCCCTCTGGTTAGTAGTCAAAAATGAGAGAAGGCGAGAGATAGCATTAGCAGCTTTGTCATAAAGTAAAATACAACTACTTATTTTATTATTAAATTTACCTTTATGGAGAATATTGTGCATTGGTAACTTAATATGTTGATTTACGACTAATCTAAGTCCTTTTTAATTAACTGAATCTCGTGCGATGTTACTACGTTAACGGTCGAACATTTCGGTAATAGCAAATAGATTCGGCTGATAATTCTAGATACTTAAGTTTAATTTTCTTGTGCATTAAGTTAAGACTAAATGTACTTTAAAAAAGTTACAAAAAGCTAGTCGCATTAATTTGTAACTTACTTTTCAATTATGAACCGTGCTGTTAAATTACTTTGACCTGATGTTAATAATTAGGACTTAACCATGTATTTATATCAACGACCTTACTAGTTGTGCACATTTTGTCATGAGATGGCGCTCGGTTTAGGTAGTAAACTAATAATAATGAGAGGACTTCTCCTTTTAAGTTTTATAGTGGGAGTATCCCTACGAGCATGCGCATTTCATTCTGTTTGGTGTTAGTGTCACATGCAATGATGTGAAAATTATATATTTATTTCCATAGGTTTTGTGTGTGTACAGTGATTTATGATAATTTAAACTTTATTTATTGTAATCCGAAATCATTTTCTGCAGTTCTTAGAAAAAGTTTGGCCATGGGGATCCAATCTCTACAACAGTTTATTACCGCCCATTGTCCTGGTGCTTGTGTGCCGGTAGATTTGTTAAAAATCGCACACAGTGTTGGTGTTCGGCGTCGAAATCAATTATATTACAACCGCCTGTGTTTAGTAGTTGATGGTGAATGTTGTTTAGATAGACTCTATGGTGGTTTTTACTCGGACTGGGTCTGCGGAGGACAGTGGAATCGAATGGTTCAGTTTATCTCAGTTCTTATAAAGACAATACAGAGCAACAATATAGAACTTGCTGTAATTTTCAATGGCGGACTCGAGCAGCAGCGCATGGACGAATGGGTGAACAAGCAGCAGTCGGATAGGAAGAAAGTCAATCAAGTTCTTAGACACGTGGCCCTAAAGGCAACACCACCGCCGAAAGTTTGGTGGATTCCCCCAGTTTGTCTACGAACATGTCTGAGAATGGCTTTACGACATCTTAATGTCACAGTTGTTTCTACTATGGATGATCATCATCAAGAAGTGATTGCTTTTTGCAGAGAAAATCACTTTCATGGATTAATTGCCGAAGATGCCGAATATGCAGTATTTGACCCACCAAGATATTTTTCTTCTGAACAGTTGAAACTTACTTACAAGGTAAGATTTTACATCGAAGTCAGCTTTGACGTACAAAATTACAGTGAAGAACCATTTAAGTATAAACTTTATTTGGTAATTTTTGGGTTGTTTAAATGTCTGGCCTGTTTTACACAATAAACCCAAGTTGCAGGCATGCAACAATTTCTTATGAAACAAACGTTGCAATAGCAAGAGTATACGACATATAGGTAAACTTTAAAAGTATTTTTCTTTTTAATAATGGTTGGAGAGGGCTTGAATGATGACAAAACCTTGTCGAAACGTTGTACATTTGCTGTTATGTTAAACTTATATTAAAGTTTTTCTTCATTACCCATTCAAGCAGTCTCCAGCCGTTATTAGTCTCAGAGTGGGTTCCTTGTCATCGAATTATTCTTCTTTTTGATATTTGACTGGTTATTATCACAGATAAAACTAGAGAATTCCAACTAATATAATATTTGTAAATACAACTTTAGCTCAGTTTTGAATATATATATATATATATAATTGTTTTTGATTAATGTTTTGTCACAATAGTTGTAAGTTTACATTAGTAATGAAAACAAAATTGATTGCCCTTCTGAGGAGACCTGATGATGTGTTTAAATTGTTGACTGTCCACCATCAACATTTAAAACATTATTTTGCATGATGAAGGTATTTGAAAATAAGTAAGATTTAACTTAACCCATAACTTAACATTACAGAGAACAAGGCACTTTGGCTATACTAAGTGCAGTTTGGGGTTATCATAATTTGGACCACATATTTAATGTAGCTGGGGACCGCTGAAGAAAGGGATCATGGTATAGCTGTGGATTATTCACTTAAGCCATTGAAACAGTGCTTTATGTGTACTACTAAGAAAACTAATAGGATTTTAGGATCTATATAAAGATATGTATACTATTTACAAGCTAAAAGGGGTAATTATCTCGATAGATATTGCTTGTTAGGCCTCATTTTGAATACTGTGCACTGTTTTGAGCTCCTAAAAAAGGGATATTTATTTAGTGAAAGGGGTTCAGAGGAAGGCTACTAGAGTGGAGATGTTATCCTACAGATAATATCTTTAAGATAAGATGTGATGTTACATGAGGTTATTCAGCAGATCCGTAGGATAGGGTGTATTCCAAGATTCAACAATACTAATCATTGTTGGAATTTAACATGATGTTGAGGTTCATTCAGTGCTGATTTTAAATTTGGAATACTTTATTGACTTTGTTGGCATTTCCGAGATGGAAGTCAGGAAAAAAGAAAAATTTCAGAAGTGTTTGGTATTTGCCCAATTTTGAGAGGTAAATGCAACAAAATGAAACCACTGTAAAAACACCTCATTGAATTTGAACAAATTTATTGTATCTAGCAACATTTTGAGGAACTGTTCCTTATTAGCCATAGTTTGACTTTCATGTTATGTCTGAGGAAGTGTTTGTTTGATACGTTACTTGACGAAATAAATTTTTTTTTCTGTTTAAACGTTGTCACATCCACGGTAAACTGTAAGTTATCTGTCACGGGCGTCACGCATCTCATAGATGCTGCCATATTGCATTATTGAACCTCGGAGCTCATTCAGGCCATTGAGTTGTTGAGCCAACACTGGAAGTCAATGATCACAAAAGAGCACATTAGTGCTGAATACAAGTGTTGTATTTTGGAATGTAGCCATAACAGGATAGAACTGATTTTTTTGTGTTGTATTCTAAAGATAAATGTGATGACTGGACACAAATTTAATATTTGGAAAAGGCAGAATAAGATTCAGTTAGGAAATTTTTTATTTTTCTAACAGGATGATTGACTTATAAAGTTAGTTGCCATCAGCAGTAGTATAGACCAGCAATTTGCAGGATTTTAAGAAGGGAATCCATGATTTCCTGAAAATTAAAGGGTGGGTTTAAATTCTTGCTTTTCCCAATGGGTGGGTGTGGACAGCCTTGAAAGACCAAACTGACTCTTGTTGTTAATAGATAATGTTTAACTAATGCTTGTTAAAGAAATGTGAGGCATTGATTTTAAATGTAATTCAATATTTATATATCTTTCGTTGGCAGGAATGGTTTAATTACAGTAGTTTGAAATAATAATAAAAAAAGATCCACGTGTATATTCATTGAACTTCTTAAATTCTTTATCTTTTTCCTGAAATTAAATTGTATTTTAATTATGTCATGGTTATTAGATGTATATTTGATTTTGAGATAGTTTTGGATGTTGCTTCGTGTTTCACGTTGTTTAGGAAGATATTTTCAGTTGTAAACAAAACTTTTACTACTTTATTTTTACAATGATAGTAATAATAAACATAGAAGTCTTTATATGTTTAAAATACTTGGTCGATTGGCTTATGTAATTCTCACAGAACTTTCTTCATTAATAGTTTTGTTTGGAAAATCCAAAGTGCATTCAGTTAACTGTTTGTTAGAATTGGTAATATGATGTACACATATATTGTTCAGTTAACTGTTTGTTAGAATTGGTAATATGATGTACACATATATTGTTCAGTTAACTGTTTGTTAG